AAAAAAAATAAATGGTATTTTTACTATTTCTGAAATCTTCAAAAAATATGAATACAAAATTACAAATGATACCATAGGATTGAAACAGTTTTCACGTGTTAGTAGTAGCGAATGCAGATCCCAGGGCTCGATCCCTAGTTCTCACCTTACCTGTGTACAGTACCTGTGTAGACCGCAGGAGTTGAACCTGTGAGCTATGTATTCGTAACCGTTGGTAGAGTGTCGTAGGGTCTATAGGTTGTAGGGGTTCGATCTGTAGATCTGTCGGGTAGAGGTCTTAGGAGTTCTAGAAGTCGTAGCTTCAGGACTTCTGAAAGGTCAAGGTCGTAGCTGCTACAGTCCTGAAAGGTCAAGGTCGTAGCTGCTACAGTCCTGAAAGGTCAAGGTCGTAGCTGCTACAGTCCTGAAAGGTCAAGGTATTAGCTGCTACAGTCTCCGAAAGGCCAGGACTAAACCTTCCGAAAGGTCCTAGTATTGGCCTTTCGAAGCTGCTCACGTTTTGGACAGAGGCAAGTGGGCAAGTGGTGGAGTCTAACCGTGCTGAGTCAGCAGTCCCAGTCCCAGTCAGTCCTAGACAAGTCAAGCAAGTACCGTACGGGACTGTGTGCACCACGGGCACCGGAAAGGGCCAGACCAACGAGCCACAGAAGTATAAATTGAGAGGCAGCAACCAGCCATTCATTCATTCCTGGGCGTAAGCCATGCGGAAGCGCTGCCAACAGCGACTTGTGCGAGGTGGTCTGCAGCAAGCCCGAAGACGAAGTGGGCGAGAAGGAGCTTAGTCATAGCGATAGGGTAGCAGTGTGTAAGTGTGTGCGCGTGTGAACAGCGTGATGCGTGTGGGATATCCAGGGTGATCCTGTGTGTGTGTGAACGGAGAGTTGTATAGGCGCTGTGCTCCCATAGCCATTTGAAGTGAACTTGTATCGGAACTGCGTTCTTGGTTATTACTATATCTCTGAGTTCTGAGTGGGGGCTTGTCGCAACCTGTTTGCATGCATATGAAGTGTGAATCAGAGTGAGTCTGAGTCGCCAGTTTGCTGCGCAAACAGTTTATTATTTTCTGAAATCTGTGAAAAACGTTTCTGGTATAGAGGTTGTGACACCTAAGTCAAGGTCCGGAGAACGCTAGATAGGCATGTAGCTGAAAATATATTTGAAATTTCGATTATAATCTTCCGGGCTTTTTTTTCTTCCTGTGGGAGGGGAAAGAGTGTCCTTATCACGGATATTTGACTGTCCGTAAAATTTCTTTTTCTTTTTTACTTTTTTGGAACTGCAGCCTGCGTTTCGTTTTTTTTTTTTTTTCAAGAAAAAGGGATCATATCATTGATAGCCGGGAAACGGTCCAACGTCTCTCACATGAATCATCGCAGCCAAGCGGGGCTGAACAAGGCACGCCGGCCAAACCCATCATCTCTGGGGCCAAGTCCAACTAGCAGCGTTGAGCTACCTCAACGCCTGAATCTGGACGTGTTTGTGGAGACGTGCAGTTCAGATAATTCAACACCATTTCTGCACATCTCCGCAAAAACGTGCAGATTCGGGCGGTTGAGGTAGCTCAACGCTGCTAGTGGGCCTTGGCCCCTGGCCAGGAGAGGGGAGGGTCTCTTCTACAAGGGGTGATAAGATCAAACCGCTTGTACCCCCCTTAAAATTGCTGACTCACCAGCTGGATGCTCTCCCCACTAGCAGAGCAAATAAAAATGCTGCAAAAAGTGTAGTATCTGTTCTGATCAGTTAAAAAAAATAAAATAATAATAATAATAAAAAATGCTGCAAAAAGAAAAACCAAACAAACATTCTTCAGATGGAAAAAAAAAAATTAAAAAAAAATCCACGTTGATGAACAGAAATTGCTGTCCCACCACCCAGTGATAGCTCCATTAGAATGGAGGAGGGGGAGGGAGGGGGGGAAAGAGAAGCACGTGCTGGCCACTGGAATGAAACGTAGTACCAAATGGTCCCGACTTTTTGTCTGGAATCCTGGGCCCACTTTTGCAGCAGGTGTAGCTCCCCTCTCCAATAGATGATGGGAGAACCAATCGGAGTAACCCCCGCCCCCCCCACACACCCCCCAAAAAAAAGAGAAAAAAAAAAAAGAATGCAGCAAAAATTCAACCTTTACGTAGGGTCTTCTGAAAACGTAATCCCAAAGGGCCTAAAGGCCCTCAAGGGCCTAAACCCAATTGCATTAAAAAAAAAAAAAAAAAAAAAAAAAAAAAAAAAAAAAAAGAGCGCAGTAAAAATTCAACCCTTAGGTAATCCCAGAGGCTGTCGTCATTTCTGGCGTTGACTTTTCTGACGGCAGGGGCGTGGTCCCACTAGCAAAGAGGATGGGATCGAATGCCTGAATCTGGACATGTTAGTGGAGAGGTGCAGGAAATTGAGATTGAACTGCTTTTCTGCATCTCCCCATAAAACACGTCCACATTCAGGCATTCGATCCGATCCTCTTGGCTAATGGATCCTAGGCCCAGGAGATATCTGTGTTGACAGGACTCACACAAGGGAGTTAATATTCCAGTTTAGGAAATCAGGGTGAAAAAAAAGGGCCCTATTTAAAGAAGGGCCCAGGAAATGGTACTTGGGCCCTGGGGATCCCCTTGGCAATTAATATGGGAAAGGTATTTTGGTGGTCCCATTAGGAACTAAAATGGGACAGGGGAACTCTGAGTGAGGCCTACGTTTGGGGTCCTATTTTAAGTAAGGGCCCAGGAAATGGTACTTGGGGCCTTGGGGTCCCCTTGCCAATTAATATGGGAAAGGTAATTTTGGGGTCCCATTAGGAACTAAAATGGGACAGGGGAACTCGAGTGAGGTCTACGTTTGGGGTCCCAAGTGGGTCAATACCAAGGGGATATCTCAACCGATGGCCCCCTTGTCTATTATTGGCCTGCGCCGTAGAGCAGACAGCTTTTCCTATCGATTTTGACAAAACAGGCGAGGGGCACCTAGAACAGAAGGCAAGTTTTTTTTTTTTTTTTTTTTTTTTTTTTTTTTTTTTTTTTTTTTTTGGTTTTCCTGTCCCATCATGGCTGTTGTCTATTGACTACTGGGGAGAGCTCCTGCGTGCACAGATTGACAAATATTGGCCGCTGATGTTTGTTATTCATTGGGCCTTTTTCCCCCCTGTTTGTGAAAGGGGGGCCTTTCCCCTCCCCTCCCCCCCCCCCTTCCCCCTGGTATGTCAAAAACCTAGTTTTTTTTGGGGGGGGAGAAGATGGGGGGAATGTTAAAAATCTAGTTTATTACACAGGAGTGACAGGACCTGAGAATTCATGCATCCAGTCAAGTAAACAAAATCATTGCTAGATTCGAAGTAACTCGTGCTCATGACCCATTCCACAGAGCCGTAGTTTTGTCCTTCGTGGATGGCCCTGTTTTTTTGGGGGGGGTAACTAGGGCGCAGTCACTATTTCAGTTTAAAATCCACTTCAGGCATCCCTCGAATACAACATATCCCCATCGGACCCTAAAGCTAGGTTGTATACATCACCATTTTCCGCGCTTTGGCACAGCATTTGCGAAATTGTGACTGAAGTGCATTTTCAAACTGAAACTGTGACTGCGCCCTTAGGCTAGTTCTCCCCTCCTTTTGTTATGCTGGCTGCTGGTCTGTTTCTCACACCTGATCCGGGTGGTCGAGTAGCTTCAAATGCGCTGGTTGAGCTCAGCGCTCAAAGCTGCATGGTGGTACTTTTATTATAATGACCACCACAATGCATGTATGAGATGTAAGGGGGAGGAAGAGAGAGAGCATGGTGGGAGAGAGAGAGAGAGAGAGAGAACGTAGCAGAGGAGGGAGGAGGAGAAGAAGTAACTTGATCATAGTGACCACCCCAATGCATGTATAAGATGTAAGGGGGAGAGAGAGAGAGAGCATGAAGAGAGAGAGAGAGAGAGAGAGAGAGAGAGAGAGAGAGAGAGAGAGAGAGAGAGAGAGAGAGAGA